TGCAAATGTGTAAGGTGTTAAAGAGGACATCAAAATGTTTTATGTTTCAAAGCCAAGTGATTTCTTTAATCAGGGAATTAACAACCTGATTGTAAGATGGAAAAGCGTCATCAATAAGAATGGAGACTATTTCATTTAATAACTGTTTTGTTTTGATATATAAATTGTTTGGGTTTTTCATCAAAAAAAAAAGCGACATTAATTTCTTGATGACCTAATATGACTGGATGTAGCAACATAGATTAATAAAGTGGTGAGGCTTCAAAATTGTTTTAATATAATGTACTCAACTTCTGGAGATCAAGTTGTGATAGATTATTTCTGAGAAATATGGCTGTATTTAAAATAAGTCTGGAATTTTCACATAAGTTTGCAAGGCTAAATGCTCACATCACTGCACTAACTTGTCAGCGTGTTTCATTAAACTCATCTTTGTTTGTAAATATTTCTAGAATGCATTCCCCTAATGCAGGGGTGGATTAAGATCCTAAAATGACCCAGGCAAATACTCAGAAATCAGAATGATATATATATATATATTTAGATGTACAATAGGTTAGTCAGTAACATTGGGACAATATAACCAGGTTATCACCCCCACTGGTCCAGGCATCACCAGGATTTTGCCCAGTGTCCCGACAGCCCAATCCACCCTTGCCCCATGTTGGGTGATACCTGTAGACTACTCCTTCTAGTACTATATTTATTATTTTCACAAGATACAGGTGCAGCATATTCTTTATATTCACAAGAGATGTTTAGATGGAAAACAATGTATGTGATAATTGGTGCAGAGGAAATAAATCTTAATTTAGTGTGATATCTCAGCAAAGTAAGAAATAATTAAATAAAAATTCTCTGTTTAATAAGTATTAAAATATTTAATATTTTTATTATGCACTGTCACTTATTAATCTACTGAAACCATGAAAAAGCATGCAATTCATTCTTGCACAATCTGAGAAATTACATTTCAACATTAATTAGACCATGAGGAAGTTACGTCTCAATCTTTATTATTAAACTAGGCTTGTACCTGTTCAACAGTCTTAAGGAATTCCTAAACCCTTTCACTGCATAATTAGATTTCAGGGGTGTTCCCCAAAAGTTATTTCTCCATAAAAAAAAAACAACAACATAAATTTAGACTTTCAACATAAAAATTTGCAAAAGTTGTTGAAAATGGTTGTACAATATGTGAAAGTAAAATGGAAGTTATTTCAAGACCAGGGGAGATCTGTTGATTGTCGTAGTAATGGGAGAATTTGTTAGGTTTTTGTGAAGAAAAATTGATGTACTGTATTTAACAATAATAAAGGTTCGTCGACTGAACCTTTATTACTTTTGTTGATTTTTACAGTGAAAGGGTTAAAATATATACTGTTTGAGAAATTATGTGTTAAATGTATGTCCTCTCATGGTATTGGCAAACAAAGAGTATAATATTACTGTATTTGATAGGTCTAAATGGCATACAATTTGAAATTGAAGAGAAATAAATAACATGTAACCAAAGTGCTCTCTGGTGGAATTCAATGTCCTATTGGCTTTTATGCAATGAGAAATTGTCAACATTGTAGGTGATGAGTTGAATCCTTGAAGAGAGTGATAGGTAAACAACAACAAAAAAGTAAATATAACTATTATTCATTAACCTGCCAAGTATTTCATTTACAATTATAGAATTAGTAATTATTTAAGTATATATATATATATATCTTTATAGTTGTGTTGCTAGAAGTAGAATTTTAATCAATAACCAGCAAAATAGTGTCAATTTAGTTACGTTCACAAAATGATTGGTAAAAATTTAGGGATAAATGGAGTGGAGCTTATAAGATGTCAAAATAATTATTATTATTATATGAGAATCATGGACTCGACTGTGATTTTCAAGATGTTTAGAAAGTACATTAAAACAGAGCTTGTTTATTTCAGGATAAGTTAGAGATAACTTTGGGGATGATTGCACTATTAAAGGAGGGAGAACAGTAGATTAGGAGCAAGAAGTCATAGAAATATATAGAATCAGGGTAAATGTTACTTTGAGAATGAGAGAGTAGCAGTCTGAAATAAGTGAAAATGGTATGACTGATAAAGCTCATAATTGTGTAAACATGTAAAATGATACTGAATTGTCTGGAATAACAAGTATGGAAACAATGTGTACACAGTATTGTTGCAACAGATGACTATTAAGTGAAAAAATATTTTATTGTTTTTAAATGTTAAACAATGCAATTGCATTGTGTGTGTGTGTGATACATTTTCTTGTACAAAGTTTAGGATTAGAAAAGTAATTTACCTCAAAATTACCGTACCATTTTTTTTGCCACTTGATAAACATTTTTGAGAATGTGAAACAAATTTTAAAGTCAATTTTATACATTAATTTTTAACTATATTTCAACAATTTAAACTCAGAAATATTTTGTCATTTTCTGATATTTATTTAGGGTAATTCATTAAAGAAGAAACTTGTACTTTCATTTCTGCATAGCTGCAAAGAGTTTCACCTGTAAAAAAATATCCCAATTGTAGATTTTTTTTAATGTTTCTGCTCATTCCAAAGAATAAGCTTATTTTACAGAATGTACTTATAGACATACTGATAACATGTCAAAAAAGGTAATTATCTTTTTATACAAATTACTAGGTACACCTTACTTGGAATACTTATCTAAGAAACGATACTGACTTACTGGAAAGGGTTCAGCAAATGGCTACTAGGATTATTCCAGGGATAGAGAAAGTATTTTATAGGGATGGGTTAAAATAAAAATATCTTAAATATTCAGAAAAGAAAGGTAAGGTGTGATTGTATTAAATTTTACAAGATTATCCACAAGATGCTAGGATAAACACCTCTAATTTCCTTGTTGTATATTCTGAAGACAATAGGATGAGAGGACACAATTTTTAAGATTTGAAGGAGACGGGCAAGGCTCCAGCTAAGACAGTTTTATTTTTCTGACACAGGGAAATTAACTTATAGAATCAGTTGCCATCAGCACTTATGGAGCTGGTAATTCACAAATTTAAAAGAAGTATCAATACGTTTCTAAAAAATAAAGCCAGTTTAAGTTTTTACTTTATTCAGGGGTGTGTGTGCACGGACAGCCTTGAAGGACCAGACGGTCTCTTGTTGTCTAAGTTATGTAACATCTCAGTACAACAAGGAAGAGTGAAATAAAAATGTTATAATTAAGAATGTAGTAAATATTAAAATATTCAGTATTTTTGTGTTCCTGTACATATAATTTGCTAGTTCTGAGTCTGTAAGACTAGATGGATTGTACCAGTACATTCTCACACAATCAGCAAAAACTGTGTAGGCTAAGTGACTTTTAACATTGTCAAGGTTTACGTAGATAGATGCCTAATGTTAAAAACAATGCCTCACAGTTTGATTGTTAGGAAACGGATAGGCTTTCCAGTTATTAAAAAACTATTAATAAAACAGGTTATCTCCACAGACTAGCAAAGACATAATGCAGAATATTCATGGTCAAAATTTCTTCTATTTCACAAAATACACTCAGTCTTAGACATAGGCTATGCAAACAGAGCACACAAAGTGGGTACATAATGCAAACTACACATTTTGTAAAAATGTTCACTAATGCAGTGTTGACAACCAGTCTCAAAGTACCAAACCATCACAAGGCCTACATAAGTATAGGTGATTTTAGAGTATGAAATTAGTGGTGAACACAATATAGAAATCGGAGATTTAGCTAAATAAGGCTACTACTATCAACATATCACAGCCCAATTTCTCATTTCACCATATGCTATATGGAAGAACCTAAAGAGGGTTCATGAAACGTACTGTTGACAACAGAAATGGCCGATAAAGAAAACCCAAGCTATTCAAAGGTGATGTAAAGTTCCTCAAGCTAAATCCTCTGCGTACAACAGCTACAGTAAAGCATTGGAGTGGATCAATATAATTGTGGGTCTGTATCTTAGCCAAAGGTGTCGGGGACTTACATAAAATCGGAGGTACCCTAACTGCTAACAGATACAAGCAGATTCTGATCCACTATGACATTCCCTTACGCATATCTCTCATTGAGCAGGGTTTCACCTTTCAGCATGACAATGACCCTAAGTCTACATCCAATGTAGTGAAAACCTAGTTGGAACATTCACAAAGTTTTGATGCGAACATCATTGAGGCCTTACGGGGTTACACAGATGCTGAAAAAGTTACACAGCAGCCATACAACTTATATAAGTTGTGGGAAGTGTTACAGGATAGTTGGAATAACATTCCACATTCCTTCATTGGCAAACTGTGTGGGAGCATGAAAGCATGATGTCACACTCTAAATGAAGCAAAGGACTCGTATACCAAATATTAATATTCTGGGCAATGTATTCATTTGACTATGCATATTTTATGTAATAATTCATTGTGCTTATGTTTGTGTATATCTACTTAATATAATTTACATTATATACCCATTTTGTTCACTGTTTCAATATTTATTTCCAATGCTGTATGTAAAAAGCAGCTTGTTGGTCCATACAGGCTGTCCCATCCACTATACTAAACTCTGTAAATTAAAACAGTCAAAGCCAGCCCTTATTATTCAACTACTTCTTCTGCCTTCCCTTAAATTAACTGCATCTACCACATCTAAAGGCAACCCATTCCAAAGGCCAACCACCCCATTAGAAAAATAAATCTATCATAGCTGAACAATAAATTCTTACCATTAAATATAAAAAGATGATGCATAAACACAGTCAATCCCCTTTACAATCTTAAGTTAAACATCTCAGTCAAATTCCCTCTAACTCTTCCTTTTTGAATAGTTGAGCTTTAACTTTTAAGTTTAAATATAAATTAAACAAAATACCAATTTTACCATCTTGAGTTTCGAGTCTATCCATACACACCTACTCTTTATAATAGTAAAAATGTGAATGTTTATGCTTCCACGTTTATTGAGTCACAAACTTCTGTTATATATTAACTTAATTAAACCGACCTGGTTGTAAGAATACTCTTCCAACGTCACCATACTGGAAAAAATATTCGTGAATTATTTTGACTGTCATGAAAGGTGGGATGTAACTTAAATAAATTATCCCAGGTTCACTGTTCTTCTTTTTCTTTTCGTGCTGTTTCGTTAACTTACTCTCAAACTCTTCCTCTCCATTTTCTATATTACTTTCAATTTGAGAATTGTTTATTTGAGAGTTAGAGTTGTTCTCATCTAGCACATTTGTATTCGCCACTTCCGAACAGGATGCCGCCATTATTTCTTTCACCTAACGCCCTCTGATGTCTGTAAAACTGTAACTTTTTCCTAAGAAAGAAACAAAAAAGAGGTTATTTGGTTTTTGTTAAGCGCAAAGTTACCCAATGGGCTATCTGGCGCCCTGCCCATCACGAGTATCAAAACTCAATTTTTAGCGTCATAGACCTGCAGATTTTGTGCTGAGCCACTTAGAGGCTAAAAAGAGAGTGAAATTGATATCAAAACATTTTCAAAAATATATTTTTTTTTATCATAAGTGACAGAAACTTTGTAACTTAGAGGAGTGCAACTGGAAATGTCCAGTTCTATTTCTCCAGAAACAAAAAGAGTGTTAAGTTTGTTTTCTAATCAAGCACAAAGCTACACAATCGGTTATTTGTGCTCTGCCCACCACGAGTATCGAAACTCGAGACATGCCGCTGTGTCACTGGAAGCAAGAGTGTTAAGAAATATATTAGTTATATAAATAACAATTATGACAAAAGGACTGATGAGAGACAAAAACCAAACAAATTACTTACAATTTTTTTTAAGGTGACAAATATAAAAAAAAAATATTTCTTAATTTTGAATCTATTACAAGAGAAGAAAACAAATATCGTATTATATTCTAATGTGGGAAAATACCATTTTGAAAAACTTTGAAAAATCCAAGAATATAAAATTTCTTGGCTTGATTAGATTATATGTGTATATATTTATAAAGAGTAAGGAAATTCTCAGTTGAGAAATTAACTAGAATTATTTTATAAGCTTTTTATTTTTGGATAAGGCCGTATGAATGAAAGTTGTTTGTCTTGAGTTTTTGAGAGCCGTAAAATAGAAATTAATGCATTAAATGTAATTTCTGGAGTGTTAAGATTGATAGTGATTTCGTAAGGTAAAAGCTCTGGAAATCTGCATAAAATCTTGTTTTTAGGCATAATTATTTTACACTTCTAATTGTTAAATTTGTTGAGTAATTTATCTAGCGGCATGAAGTATATAAATTGTTTGTTTTTAATAAAGCCACATTGGGCTCTCTGCTGTGTCCACCGCAGGGATTCGAACTCCGGATTTTAGCGTTGTAATTTTTTTAATTTACCGCTCTCCCACCGGGAGACAGTCTTTAATGAATATGAAAGTAACCTATTTTTTTTCAGGTTGGAGTTTAAACTTTTTGAATATTTAGGGTATGTGCCGTCATCGGGACACCTTTTATTTTTATAAAGTTAGAAAAAATTTTGAATAGTAAAACAGGTTTTATTGTCATTTTACTTTTATTCGTATATTTGTAATTATGGTATTATAATTGATTATATGACAACTAAATTATTACGATAAGTTTCACACGAACGAAACACTCCAGCAATGTATTTACATTATTTCTATTGAAAGATATATATATAATATTCAGTAAAATTGGAACTTTGATATAACGAAACTTTTTTATTTATTGTTCCTATAGTGGACTATATGAGAATTAAAAGTTTAAATTTTCCAATAAATTGATGTTAAAAAATTGTTTCTTAAATTCATCGTTTCCATTTAAACCCAAAATATTTATTAATTCTTTGTCTACACGTTACAGCCTTTTAAGTATGTATTACTTTGATCATTAACGAAAACAAAAAAGGAAAAAACAACGACGATTTTATTTTTTTGGAAATGAATAATTAAAGCTTCATTATAAGCAATATTAAGTACCTATAAAATGTCGAGTTTTCTAGTTATTGTGGTTTCACTGAGTGGTTCATTAAGTAACGAGAAAAACAAAATTAATTTTATGATTATTTATCCTTTAGATAAACATAACAAATATTATGGTACTGAAGATAACTCATCCAGAGTGATATTTGTTAAAGTGTCCACCTGATGCGCGGAATAGAAGAATTTGAACTGACTATAGTTTATTGAAAATATTAACCTGATATAAGCAATACATTTGAAAAGTTGTTTGTTAACGTTATTAGCATTAAATGTTCACTTTTTCTTCTGTTGCAGCATCACTTTTTACCAAAAAACAAAACCAAAGAAGAAAGAAAGTTATATAAAACTACCTCTCTTTACACCGTTTGTACGAGCTAGTTCAAGAATATGTATCTTTTTTCCAAAAGTGCTTTGTTAGCAGATCAAACATGGTTTCAGAGGTGCACGCAAACCGAATGTATAACTCGTTTCAAAATTCCACAGTGCCAAATTCTGCGGTTCCTTTCAAAGGCGTATGAATAACTATTTCTTTTATTCGTGTCATCCCATCTTGTAAGACGCCCTTGTACTTCCCTGATAATTCTGTTCTCTATCAAGATATCGTCGAAATACATCGTAGTGTCGGATTAATGGTTGTTAAACACAAAGCTACACAACGGGCTATTTGTGCTCTACCTACCACGGGTATCGAAACCCGATTTTTATCGTCGTAAACCTGCAGACCTACCGTATTTAATGGGTGACTGTAAGAGGATATTTCACATTTATTTCGATGCATTTGATAAAGATGTTTGTTTGTTTGTAGTTAAGCACAAAGCTACACAAAGGGCTATCTGTGCTCTACCTACCACGAGTATCGAAACCCGATTTTTATCGTCGTAAACCTGCAGACCTACCGTATTTAATGGGTGACTGTAAGAGGATATTTCACATTTATTTCGATGCATTTGATAAAGATGTTTGTTTGTTTGTAGTTAAGCACAAAGCTACACAAAGGGCTATCTGTGCTCTGCCCACCACGTGTATCGAAACCAGGATTCTAGCGTTGTGAGTCCACAGACATACCGCTGGGGGGGGGGGGGCTTTGATAAAGAAACGTAGCCATTTTATTAAAGTTACACTTTTATTTTAAACATTAATGAATAAGAAGACTGATTTAAAGTGATGAACTTTACGTATTAAGAAAATTTCCCTCGTTCTTGTTAAGCCAGAATGAAATTTGAATCAGTCTTTACATTTATTCATTTTGAACAGAGGCGTAGTCAAAGGGGCCTCCCCCCCTCTCTCTGAAAAATTCTAGGTATATTGACCACATATTATTTTCAGCTTTTATCTATATAATAAACTCGTTTCGTATCATTTAATAAAAGGAAAGAAAAACTTCTATGAACACTATTACATTTGATTTGTTTTAATGAACATTTTATTAACAATTTAGATTAATTTCAGCTTTTTACTTTATTGTCCCCCTAAAATTTTCTGCACCCCCCCCACCCACACATATCAAGATAATGGAAAACCTGGCTACGCCACCGATGCTGAAATAAATTGTAGCTCCTATTTGAGTAGGACTTTAAATGTCACTTTTTCTACCTGGTTACACTGTAATTAAAAAAAAAAATGTTTAGCTAACAGGATTATAAGCACGACTCAAATATTTTAAGTTCTACTTACTGCAACTAAAGTATTTGTGGTGTAAAATGAAAGACTAAGGTCACAAAAGTTGCTACTCAGTGACCACTGAATACACTTGACCACCATCACTAATAAATGGATCGCCTTTTAAGTATTTCAGAGGCAACGTTTGGGGTTCAAGATCGAGACTAAACCCTTTTCTGATTATTTATTATAGAATTTTCGCTCAAAGCTACCTAAAGACCTAACTGCGCATAGTCGTCACTATTCTTGAATAAATGGGCAAGATGGAAGGCATCCAGAAAATAACACGTTCTGGCTGATTGAATGGTGGAATCTGAGCATTACTCTTATAGCGTATTCCTAGATCCAAAGTGCGGAGCGCATTTTTGTGGAAACCAGTCACGAAAGCTTTTCTGATACTACCGCTGCTCAGTGTTTTTATTAGATACTTTCTTCATCGGCTTCTTCGCCATGCCACTGGATTCCCCCAGTGGCATAGCGATATGTTTGCGGACTTACAACTCTAGAAATCGGGTTTCGATACCCGTGGTGGGCAGAGCACAGATAGCCCATTGGGTAACTTTGCGCTTAACTTCAAACAAACTGCCGCTTGGCATGGTGAAATACTCTAGGTCAGCGAAGAGAGAAATGTAAAAAGCAAAAATTAACCATAATGAGAACGGAAGCTTGTTTACGTTTCTTCATCTTAGGCACGTTTTTGTTTTACATCTAGAGAAAAGTCTGATTAAAATGAATAAAATAAATTTTAACTATTAAAGAAATTGTTGTGTTTTAATTATTCAAACTGTTTAATTGTGGCTATTTTTTCTTTAAAGCTGATCATACAGAAGAGTAATTTTGCAGTTTTTCGTTTACTACATATCGTACTTAATGACAGTCGGCCAGTGGTTCAGGGGTAAGCTTGAATATTTAGAACGCTAAAATTCGGGGCTCGATCCACTTGATGAATGGACAGAGCTTTCCGCTAAAACAATCAATCTCAGGTGGTAATGCATGAAACAAGATATTTCAGTTTGCAATTGGTGCAGTAATTCGTATACCTTAAAAATCGTTTTAAAATTTTGAATGAGAAATTAATAAGGCAATCAATATGTATACTTATATTGCTATCGTAATTTAAGTTATTGGATTTTTATCTTGGTCGTTCTGGCTATGAAGACTGGTTTCGCAAACGGCGATCGTCATTCAAGCACCAATTAGCCCTTTACGCAAATATTGGAGATAACGCGATGCTACTGGTTTGGTTTGTTTGTTTTGAATTTCGCGCAAAGCTACACGAGGAGTGGAAGACTAGAGGGAAAGCATCACCACCCACCGCCAACTCTTGGGCTACTCTTT